TGGCATGCGATTCGCCCCTGTCAAATGTAAAATGCTACTACAGGACTGGACTACGTCAACTCCAAGCTTAGTGATAGGGAGTGAAGTGATAGAACATGTTGACCACTTCACCTATTTGGAAAGTTGTATCAGCGCCAATGGATTGATTGGTGACGAAATCTCAGCACGGATCCAAAAAGCTCGGGCTGCTTTCGCTAACTTACACCGTCTCTGGCGTAGGCGTGACATCCGGCTATCAACCAAGGGACGTGTGTACTGCTCAGCAGTTCGCTCCGTCCTTCTCTATGGTGGTGAGACGTGACCATTGAGAGCGGAAGACATGAAAAGGTTGACTGTTTTTGACCACAGATGTTTAGGTGGTATAATAAAGTAAGTAATGTTGACATTAGGCGTAGAGTGTTGGGCAAAGAGGGAAAATCGATCGACGAGGCTATTAAGTTACATAGATTGAGATGGCTAGGTCACGTGCTGCGCATGCCTAACCATCGCCTCCCCCGACGGGCATTACTAGTTGATATAGGTGCAGGTCGGAAAAGAGTAAGTGGTGGCCAAACAAAAACATGGCATCTATCCATGACAGTTAAACTGAGTCAGGTAGGGAGATGCAGACTTCCGGGTTGGGGCCCTCGGGACTCTAAGAATCAATGGGCTGGAGACAATAGGTGACATGGCTCAAAATCGTTGTATTCAGTCTCTGCAATCTTCCATATTCCTTCCTACCATTACTCATTCCATTTCACTCTTATACTTGTCAAAACTCTATTGATTCTCTTCACTCATCTTCTTGTCTACCTTTGTGTGCTCTTTGGAACGTGGCAACTGGAACTGCTGCACTTCAGTGCCAAGTTCTATGTTGAATCCAGCCAGCCAGCGCGTTGACCGCTTCACTTAATTGAGAAGTTGCATCAGCCAGTATCAGCGGATTGATCGCAGACGACAGCTCAGGACAGATACAGGAGGCTCCCTAGCCCTTCTAAATGATCTCAACTGCTAGTAGAGTGGTGAAACCATGACATTTCAATATGTAACTACAGAAAGTACACTAGTCCCTAGACTAACCTAATAATACTTAGTAATTATGCATGTTCAATGCTTGAAATTAGATTATCATTAAAATACTTAAAATGATTACTTACGCAGCAAATGTTCTCTTAGTTTATCACTCTTATTTCCCTTATAACATTCAGTTTTTGAGCCTAATGTATTCTTTGATAATACGAATTATAACACTGATTACACTCTTATTATACATAGATTGATTTACTTTACGGCTACCTGTAAGACTCACTAACTTTCTGTAGTATTGTTAACCAAATGCTGAAATTTTGTTGGTTCTGCTAATATCTTTTTATAATATATGTAGACAGGTTACTTTGCAATGTCAAATGTTTACTATATATAAAACTGTCATGATAATTTAGTACACTTGGTCCTGCCAACCGACATTACCTTCAGTTCATACTACCTATATTGAACCCTAACTATATTGTTCTGCTGAATCTTGCTCCACTATTCACAAAACCTATTCTTGTTATTCTTCAAGGCTTTGACTTCTTATAAAGTAATCTGTTCATTAGGACGCATGCATACATATATAATATGTTCATAAAGATGTACGCGGGGACCTATTGGAAGCACTCATTAAGAAAGCTAGGGAGATGGAATATGGGGTACGAACATGTCTGGTACCAAGCAATATATTTGCGGTAACCATAATAATCATAGTCTCAGAGCCTAACATCAAAAAAGGTGGGAGGGTGGAGTTAGCTGATCAGTAGATATGGCGGGGGTCACTAAGGTGAATCGCCCCATTCTGCAGGAACAGCATTAAAAAAAATTTGAAGGCTCGAGATATTTCTGATTTTTATGAGGGCTTAAATCTTTATCTTGAAAAAGATAACAATGAACGCCTTGACAGATCATGCTTCTACCTTTAAATATATACCATTCACCCAGCCTATTGTTGAGATGCGACCATGTGGGATCTGCTCAGATTTATGGGGCATCTTATAAATTAATTTGCTGTCTATCGTCAGATCTTTTCATACCACTCCACAATGTCTTATCTCATTTATTTTCTGACAACGTCTTTACTTGATCCTCATTTTACTCCATTAAACTTAACATCTTATAGCTCTTCATTACTTATTATACTCCTACTCTTTGAAGGGTACGGTTGTGCACTAAATGCACAAAAAGGTATAAAATAAAAACAACTGGCATGAGGATAATTGTATTAAAACCAAAAGTGGATATCATGATAGTTTGTGATATATCTGTAGCATTATACATTGCAAATGAATGTTGTTACCCTAGGGTGTTTCCTTTATTAATGATACTTGCACTTACCTATTTCATTACAATTTAATGATTCACCTCATCACTTTAATTTTTCTAAAACAGATTCCAATCCCTTGTAAAAGCTGTACTTACCTCAATATTGGTTGGTTATCGTATGCCTACAACCACGGGATGAAAACGGAACGAAGTCGATTTTCCCGCTCAACCTGGAGGACAACTGTACAATTCAATAACTATACGGCCTAATTCAGAAAATGAGTGTATTATATGTATCGAATATTTAACAGTTGAAATACGATTAACTTGTAGACAATCTACGATTTGATATTATATCATACTTGATCGTGCCTGTAAAAATGGCATGCATTTTCATGTAAATTTGTAAATTTATATGAAATACATTATTATTATATTATATTTAGCAAAAGCCAGTTTACGCCGTCTCTGGCGTAGGCGTGATATCCGGCCGACTGTCAACCAAAAGACGTGTGTATTGCTCAGCAGTCCGCTCCGTCCTCCTTCGTGCCTGTGAGACGTGGCCATTGAGACTGGAAGACATGAAAAGCCTGGCTAACTGTCTTTCACCATAGGTGCCTGTGTTCTCTACCCTGTGTTAAGCAGCATAATAGGGTGAGCAATATTGAGGTGAGGCATCAGTCGAGTGCTAGGTAAGGAGGGGAGATAAATCGGCGAGGTTGTGGAGTTACACCGATTGAGGTGGTTAGGACATGTGTTGTGCATGGCTAGCCATCGATCACTGTCCTAGACGGGCAATGTTAGCTGACATAGGATCAGGTTAGAAAAGAGCTAGTGGCGGTGGTGGTCAAACCAAAAACATGGCCTCATCAGTCAGTGATATCCACAACAGTTAGATTGAGCCTGCCACATAGGGAGTTGTAGACTTCCTGACTGGTTGGGATCCTCGGGATGGTAGAAAGCAATGAAGGCTGGAGACAGTTAATGATATGGCTTAAAATCGTTCTTGGTGGATGTCACAGAAGCATTCACTCCTTGTGAGTAATTATACCTAATAAAACTATATTGTTCTTTGACACACTTGGAATAGGGGAATAAGAAATGCAAACTGGAATCTGAAATCTGTGGACCATTTGATTTAAAATAATGAAACCAAGTTAAAACTTTGCAAGACTTTTTTCGCTTGCTACCTGGTTGATGCGTAGGTGACGACATCCACTACTAATTCAATCAAATCTCCACAAAACCCAATGACCGTTACTCTGTTATAAGAGTGAATGTATTCCAATACATAGTTAGGAGAAACATTAATGCATATTCTTTTCCATGTATACTGTAAATCACGATGGCGCCAATTGACATAACCCATATATATATGTGTTACACAGACAACTGGAACGAATTGCATCAATAGTATATTGCCTGTTTACTTTTGATTGCTGTGACTGAATCATTGACGGATGCTGAAGAACAGATACGTTAAACATGAATCCAGCGACGCAGATAGATGGAAATCAAATTGATACACAAGGTAATTGATACCACCTGAGTGCAGACATGTACCTTGGTGGGGATCTAAAAGAACCGTCATGCCATTATTACAGACATATACTTCACACTAAGCAATCACTACTGTAAAAACACAATGAATACTATTTTCAGCACTCGACCAATCACCTAGTTATTTTTTAGCAATTTAAGTCAAGCAGCAAGGAGTACTAAGACATTAAATCGAGGTAACATGAATTCATTGGAAGAATAGATATGTGGTCTGTTCATCGATGATTAAATTCTATAGCATACACCGAAATGTCAGTTTCTCTTAAGTAAACTTTTCTTATTATGAACATAGCGTCTTTGATCCAAACCTGCACCGTTAATTCAAAATTACCTCACATCACTGTAATAATGACTACGGACCTGACCTATTTTCTCTTTTCCTTCCCACCAGGTCGGAACACCTTAGAGGACATAGCAGGAGAGTTCAAAAGCCAAGAAGAAATCATATTGCTGTTGAGTACTGGTTCTCACACCGAGTCATAAACTCTTGGAATCGACTCCCAGAAGAAGTGGTGTCTGCAACCTCAGTTGATTCGTTCAAGAAGGGTTTGGACAACCACAGAAATTTACTAGAAAAGGATTAACATAGGCTCCAAGCCTTCTATCCTCAACCAATAAATCTGAATCTGAATCTGAAAGCAACATCCAAAACCTAGATGACGATGTATCAGACGTCCATTCAATTAAAAAGACTCGTGGTAGGAAAGCAACTTAAATGTTTAAGCATTTCGGAAAAGTGACACAATACATGTCACATGGTAAAAACGTGTATGTGCCAAATGTATTAACAAAAGCAAAAGCTTATCATTGTGTGTAAACTATTGAAATGCAACTATAATTTATTAATGATATAAATCAGCTTTGCTATGGAGGCTTTGAAGGCAATCTGCTTACATTTGATTAGTTTATTATCAGTTGTAACGCACGAATCTTGGGAAACAACAAAAGGGGATTACATATTGCCACAATCACTAGGTTTTGCATGTATATGAACGTCGACATATACGGCTTATAGATTCTCTATTAATGACTAATACGAAATTAAGTGTCTACGAAGAAAGCTAACCCTAGACAAAACAAAACACTGAATCATTTTGCTATGAAAAAAAAATAAACAAAGACGTCAGATTCCAACATACCAGCAGCGACAATCAAATTGACATATTGACATTGCCAAGTGACTTTAGACTCCCGCTTTCGGCAGGGCGCAAAATTCAAAATAAACTAAAATAAATAATATATTGTAGAAGATATGATTTTCATAAAAATTAGTAAAAATAAACAATTGGAAAATGGTTTTCATCAAGTTTGAAGACATACACATACATGGTACCGTGTTAATGATGAAGTCCATATTACTCTGTGCATCCGGTTTTGAACTTCGTTACGAAGTCAACTCCATTCACTATATATCACCTTGTTGTCTTCGAAATCGGTCGTATACCGGTCAGCTAGACTGGCTACTTTCAAACAAACGTCATTTGCCATATAATGACGGAATCACAGCAAGGTATTTTTATTAACATATATTGGATATGCTTGAAGATACTTTGGAGGAAAAATATGAGGTGTTAAAAACCGTATGTCGGCAACAAGTTGTGGTAAGTCCATCCAATCTTAGTTTTCTAGTATGCTTGAAGATAAATGAATCACTTAAATTGGAAATTATTAAGTTACACAATGTTATAAATGAACTTACCAGTGATAAGAAGTTAGTCTTTTTTAAATTCGTTCATCTGTAATGCAGTTTACTACTAGATGAGTTTGTCAACAACCATCTGTCATGTATCAGTTCCCTCAAGAGTGAGTTGAAGGAAACACAGGAGTATGTTTTCATTGTCTGTTAACACTTGCCTTAGTAATTCAGTTTGTAGAGGAAACAAACGTGCAATGAGCCCGTCTGAAAACAACTATCAAGATACAAAGAAAGTCAGAAGTTCCCACTCGGCTATTTGTAAGTTCTTGTAAAGCATAATCAAGGTTTGGTACTTAATGATTCCAATCATGTTCATATTGCTTATTTTCCAAAGTTCTTCCATAACTACCTTGTCCCATCTGTTACTTTGATTAGCATCCTCTCAGATTCCTAAGTGCTTTTATTATTATTCAGTAATGTATCAGTGAACTCTAATATGCATCAGTCCCTTCCATAAAATTATTCCCGTTCTTTTGATTATGTAGTAATTGCATCTGCAGCATAACGATTTCATCCCTAATCCACTTATTTTAACTTAGGCAATTGTAAGTATGATCGTCCTTCACGCTCTAATTATAAATAACTAGGACAGTAGCTACATGCTGGCTTTTTATTTTCAGAGTAATAGAATATTTCATTTACCGTAGTCCCCTATATCCATGTTTTTCCATTTTACAGTTCTTTTTGCCTCGCATTTCTGCTTATTATGGTTCTTTTGCATTTTTTGTCTCTACCATTTTGTTCCACATAGAGTGTGATAAATTAAACTTTCATTTCTGTGTAAAGTTTTTCGTTGAAACTCAGTCAGCTTTCAGTTACCCTAAGGTCAAGACTGTATGACTTGTTTGTGGAGAAATACACTCGAAACTGCCCACTCACATAAGATATGTTTGTGGTGCATAGAAAATAGGTATCTTTCCCTAAAATTACACACATCAGTCTGCAGCATTCGCCTAAAAGGTAAAACTGTCCCAGTCATTAAATACAAGTTCACGGGTTAGGTTCTCCTATGCCTCCAAATCCCTCGCAAGTACTAGTCCTCATTCCATAAAACTTTCTGCGACTACTTTGCAGCTCTAAAAGTACTGTGAAGATGACTATGATAACAGTTATTCACATTCTCTTTAAGATAGTTATTTCCCCATTAACTGTGTTCTCAGTTTAATGCCTGACGGTTAATAGTTCATTCAAGCATATGCATGTCCCTCATTTTCGGTAGAATATCCACAACCGTAATGTTCTGTTGCCTTACGATGAAATATGACCCTTGAAGACAAAATTGATGTGTAATTTGCAACTACTTCATCACATATAAGCATAAAAAGGAATACTAGTTTGCTAATTTCCATGTCACATGCCAACCAACTACTCTCTCTGCTCACACACTTGTCTATTTTAATATCCTTCCTTCGCCTCCTGGATGTATTTTTAATGTGTAGTGACATTAATGCATTTCTGAGATCTATCCTTTTCTATGCATCTGTAGCTAACACTATCGATGTAATGAGTACATTAGTACTGTGTTAGTGGATAGAGAATTTACTATACTTCCAAATATATGGCAGGTACATGGCACCAATCTTCTATCATTAGATTACTCTTTGTTAGATGATCACAAACGGTGATTTCTCTTCTGACTTTTCTCATTCTGCTTTCCCATGTATCGCTTGTAACCGCCAGACAGATCGGATTCATTAAACTCCACAGAAGCTTGGTTCGATGTATGGTTATATCAAGTGGTACGTTTTCAATCGTACAAAGGCACTTGCCAACCTATCTCGTTGCTGGTGTACATTTGACAGCCAGCTTCTGATCAAAAGGCATGCGTACTGAGCACTAGTCCTCTTTGTTCTCCTCTATGGCTGCCAGACATGATCACTGAAAGTGGAAGATATGAAAGGCCAGTCGTCTCTGACAACCACAGATGTTTGCGTTCTATCACCCGTGTTAAGTAGTATAAATATGGTGAGTAATATTTAGGTTAAACACAGTGTTAGGTGAGGAGGGTAGGCCAATCGATGAAGTTGTGAAGTTATATGGATTGAAATGACCAGAACACGTGTTGCCCATGGCGAGTCACCTTCTCCCTTGCAAACAATGTTGACCGACATAGAATTGGATTGGAAAAGAGTTAGAGGAGGTCAAGCCGAAACCCGCTATCAGTTCATAAAGTCTTTGACTGTTGGTTTGAGCCACGTAGGCAGGTGTAGACCGCCTAGTTGGGGTCCTCAGGATGCTAAGAATCAATGGCTGGAGATTAATAATGATATGGCTTGAAATTGTTGTCAGTGGTGCAGACACATTCACTTATTGTGACTTCCCAGATCCATTAGTTCCTAATCTCTTTCCATCTTACTATTCTTTCTTCACATTTCTGCTTATTAGAGTACTTTTGAATTCCTTTGTTCTCTCGTTTGTCTACCTTTGTGTGCTACATGGAGAGTTCCGACTTGAACTGCTACGCATCTGTGCTGAAACCCAGGTCTTCATATGCTATCTTATACAAAAAATATTACCCCAGTTTTTCGTGTTCATTAGTCTCGCTTTTATTGGCTACATAGATGTTTCAGAGAAAATACACTGTTTCAACCAGTAACTCTATAGTCGGGGAGTATTACTAATACAAATCAGTTATTCTAGAAGGTAATATATACATATCGGTTTAAATGTTTTCACCTAAGCAATTGTGTTTCTAAAATGTTGTGTACACGCCCTCTCTGATTTTAATCTGGCTTACATTTTTAGGTCGTAAAGAAGAGTCGGTTCTCCTCGATGATTCCTCACCACCGTTGTATCCTATCCCAGTAGAGGAGAATGTAAGTCAAATTTTACGTCTTAATTAACTATAGAGTCGCAGGTTACAATCAATAATCCTTAGACAGTTAGTGTGGCACATCCTAATTCACAGACAAGAAAAAAAAATAATCAAGGTAGAACCGTCGTTATGAATGTATAAATCTGTAAAACCAATCCGAACTGTGTGTACTAACATTACTGACACCACTACTAAACGTGTACTGGAACTGTTATTCTAAGACAATCTAGAGTGACAAAACCTTACAATGTTCTCAAATCCAAAACTAAATGTGGCTTATTATTATCATGCAGCATGAGACCACACTATCCTACTTCATTGGCACATTTAAAATCTCAAAACTATGATATGTATGATAAATACTCTGGATCACTGTCTGGTAATTACCTTATTTAGGCTAATAAGCTGGGAAAACCATCAAATAATTTACTTTTTACTTTGCTTCGGTTATCTCCTTCGGAAGGATGAGCCGGCTTCATGAACTTCTCAAATCATCGCTACCCAGGCGCAGCGATCTGATGAAGAGAGTTTACGAAGTTTCATGGGAATTTGGTGCGAGTGATGTCCCCAGAACCACTCGGCCTTTTGTTTGATAGTGCAGCTCTAGCCTTTACACAACCAAGTGTGACCTACAAGGCAGTAGGAGTGGAGTAGGGAGTCCACTATCCATTGGCAGCCGGTGACCGGAGTTCGGTTCATACGCCTTTTTGAATGGGGCCAGACATCCAGGACATCCAACAAGCCCTTTGTCCATACGTCTGCCGGTGAGCTCCAGTGAGCTTCATACGCCAGTCGTTGGAGGTTTGGAATCAGGGTTTAGCCATCTCCCCTAGACTGTCATCCAATGGACAGTCAACCCGGTGAAGAGCGCCGGGCATCCGCTTTCGCCCTCTCACTTTGGTGAAAAACACCTCCGCCACGTGAAGGCAGTGAGTAGGACTTCCTCAGGAGAGGCTATGTAAGACGCCCGGTCATATGGGAGCATTTCAAGAGGTGTGCGGAGGGGTGGCCAACCCGCAGCGCAAGGCACCCACCCCCGACCATCCTGAGGCTTTGGAGGCTCAAATAATTAGATGACAATATTACCGAACTATTCTTTTCTTGTATCGTTAATTACAGATTTATTCATTTGATTACATTTATTCAGAACTGAAGAATTCGAATAATGTTCTCAATAAAATCAATTCCTAGTTACTTTTACTAACATAAGAAAAAGATGTAAACATGTCGAAGAAAATTCCCTTTCCGACGATTCATTTTCATAAGCTGTACAATCGTAATTATATTTTAACAAAGAATTCATAAGACCAATCAGATACTGGGAAAATTTGTCCTCAGAAACGTATTACCTAATGTAAGGTGTAGTTTAGATGGAGTGACTAATTGGATATTAGAAAAAGGGCGTAAGTTGTAGTGATGTAATGTGTGAAAAAATGACTATTGAAGACTGGAACTAGTGGAAAAACTATAAAGTGTTTTTGTAAAGTCTGTATGGAAACGCAATGTTATTGATAAACGGTAGTAGACGGATAATACATGAGGATGATGAGAATAATAGCATTGATAGTAAACTTGCGTAATAAGAGAAAGCAAAATTATAGTGAGGTTTCTTTGACCACAGTAGGGTGAGTGAATGTATGTGGTGCTTTTTAATGCAAAGGTCCGGTTTCAGATCCCAAATAGCCAATGATTCAGCTATGTACAGATGGCGTATTCGAATTCCTTTCGTGTGATATTGAGGGACTCTGTGTAGCACTGTGAAGCATTCGTGTGGGGCACTCGATGTCCAGAGTTGACAAGGTGTTGGTGGACGGAGCTATCAGTATTCTTCCTTTCTTCTCCGGCCACCCAAGCTGGACAGTGTTCCAGAATACGTTTTCGGACTTGACATTGCGTATGGCCGATATACTTTACTCCACAGGAACAAGTAAACTGATAAATACACATTTTATTAACATCTATCTGGAAATAAGTCAATTAACAAAGCGAAATGATTAATTTCGCTTTCAAGAATGATAATCTCTACATGTTTACGTTCTGAAGGTAATCGTTTAATTATTTTCTTATTTTAGGAGGAACCCTTTAGTCCTGACGACCAAGCAGAACAGAGTCACTGTGAGGCTACTCCTAGTCATTCACCGCTTACAATAACCTGCCCGAAGTTACATTACAACATATCCATCGCAGCAAAAACAAGCATTTCTGCTACCCCTATCGGTAGCGATGGTGAAACCTCACCACGGCTAGTGAATACATCAAGCATCACTCTGAAATCCAATGTAAGTAATCCTGGTTCACCTCCAACAATCACTTCGAATACACGTTTGCCTACTTCATCTCCTGTGAGCACCAACAACATATCTGTTCTACAACGGCCAAGTCGAGGCAGCTCTCTTGTAACAAACTCATCAGTATGTGCATCACCTACTCCTTTCGTATCGTTTGCTTCCCAGCGTTCATCGTCACTTGGTTCACATGCGAAGTATGTGTCTGTAACAAATCGCTCTTTAAAAGTTGTTAGTTCTGGAAATGCTCCCAACACTTCTGGCAACGTTATAAAATCGGTAACTTCTCCTATATCATCTGGAATCCGTTTATCAAGCACACCAGCATTAACAAATCAACGTATCTTGATCCAACCAAGCAATTGCAATGTCCGTTCTGCTGTTTTCCCTCGACAGCCTCAAGTAAAGTAAGTTTCAACATTGTCGATCGTTGTCACATAAACACTAATATCGTTCTTATCCGCCTACTCTGTTTTCTGGGGCTATCATTTTCCCCAGTTTTCAATGAATGTATCAGTCCGATTTGGGCACTGTGGTAAAATATAACTCCATATTAGATTAGTTTATCTGATATAACACTGATACAGTATTAACAACTGGATAATGTTTCGAGTACAATTTATCACTCATAATTATATCATGCAATTTCATAACTTGCTTAATATGGTTTTACTTTCCTCTGTATATATTGCAATTTTCCTAGATTTTTAAGTCTAGATAACTGATCCAGGCAAGATTTCGTTTATCTTTGCCCTTAAGACTAGTAGGATGTATGTATTATTCCAGATAGAAATTTCTACCAAGAAGAAATCCGTCTTTTGCTGAATGTTGATTTGATACTGCTACTACTACTACTGCTTTTTTCTATGCAACATTTAGTTCTTGAATTAGATTAGGTTGCCATGTGAAACCATGGCAAACGAAGCAGAACAAGCTGCAGGCAAAGGAGACCTCGCTACACTATACCAAACAACTAGGCACCTTTCGGGCAAAAGTTCGACACAGATTAAGCCAATAAAGGACGACAATGGAAAGTCAATCACCAAAGAGGTGGAACAGAGGAAGCACTGGGCTGAACACTTCAAAAGACTTCTAAATCGTCCGCCACCTACAACGCGTCCAACAATACCAACAACGGAAGCAGAACTACCAATGAACATCGACCCTCCGACGAAATCCGAAGTCCTGAATGCCATCAAGATGCTAAAAGCTGGGAAAGCGCCAGGACCAGATGGAATCCCAGCAGAAGCTTTGAAAATAGACCCAGAGACAACAGCGGACTTGATGACGCCACTACTAGAGAAGGTGTGGAAAGAGGGCAAAGTACCCGAGGATTGGAAGAACGGATACTTATTCAAACTGCCAAAGAAAGGAGATTTGAGTCAATGTAAAAACTGGCGTGGAATTATGCTTCTGTCCATTCCAAGCAAGATACTATGTCGCATCATCCTGGAGAGAATTAAACAAGCCCTAGATGAAAAACTTCGTCCGGAACAGGCCGGATTCAGGAGGAACAAGTCATGCATTGACCAAATCGCCACCCTACGGATTATCATTGAACAAAGTTTGGAATGGCAGTCACCTCTCTATCTCAACTTCATCGATTTTGAGAAAGCCTTCGACAGCGTCGATCGAGAGGTGATTTGGCAACTACTTCGCTACTACGGGGTGCCGCCGACAATTATACATCTCATCCAACAGCTGTATGACAACGCTGCATGCCAAGTAATCCACAACGGGAGGCTCACGGAATCCTTCGAAGTGAGGACGGGAGTGAGACAAGGCTGTCTACTGTCACCAATGATCTTCCTGATTGCAGTTGATTGGATAATGCGGCAGACAACGGCAACCAACGAGGGAACAGGCATAAAATGGACCGACACAAAAGCCTTGGAGGATTTGGATTTCGCCGATGATATATGTCTGATTTCCCACAAACTGGAAGATATGCAAGTGAAAAGCAACAAATTGGCAGAAGAAGCAGCAAAGATAGGACTTCAAGTGAACATAGACAAAACAGAGGTAATGAAGATTCCTGGCCAACATCAACAGCAACAACCGACAACAATCAGCATAAATGGGAGGAACCTGAAGGAAACAACTTCTTTCACCTACCTGGGAAGCATCGTCTCAACTACAGGAGGAACTGACGAGGATATCAAAGCCAGAATCGGAAAAGCAAGACAAGTTTTCATTTCTCTCAAGTCTATGTGGAGGTCAACAGCATTCAGCGTCAAAAATAAGATCCGTATTTTCAACTCCAATGTGAAGTCAGTACTACTATACGGATCAGAGACTTGGCGTGTCACAAAGAGCAGCTCAAACAAGCTACAGACCTTCATTAACAAATGCCTTCGCTCAATACTCAAGATCAAATGGCCGGAGAGGATCAGCAACAAAGATCTCTGGGAGCGAACCAACCAGGAACCGATCGTGAAACAAATAGGCAGGAAGAAATGGAGATGGATTGGACACACTCTGAGGAAACCAGCAAGTGACATCACTAGACAAGCCCTCGAGTGGAACCCGAAAGGGAAGCGACGAGTTGGTCGTCCAAGGGTGACCTGGAGGAGATCATGTGAAGAGGAATTGAAAGCGTGTGGGCAGACTTGGAGCCAGGTGAAAACTACAGCAGAGAACCGAACGCAATGGAGACGCATGGCTGAAGCCCTATGTTCCTCTAGGAATTAAAGGAAATAATAATAATTGTTATTTAATGAATAATCTTTGATAACTATTTTCGTCACACTCATTTGGTTAGAATTTTGTCCTCATACTAACCCTATGTTACTGATTATTCATTCCTATGTTCTGTTTTAGGGATTCCTGTGAATTTGGATACACAGAAAGATGAAACAGGGTTTATCAAATTTTGCACATGCGGGGACCACATAACTTCATCTGATTGTTTCAACTACTGTAACATTGCTCCTATTACCTTATTAAGCTAAATGCAGAACTGTACAGTTCCTAATTATTATCTGTCGATAATAATATACATTTTCAATTCATCTAACACCGTTCGGTTTTCATTTTTTTCATTTTTGGCAAGATATTGCATTGAAACATCGGAGGTGTCCAGCACACACCAGTATTCAATTTTATTGCGTCAATATGTCTGAAATTATTTTTTTTTCTCACTTCTTCTCACTGGCTGTAGCTATAAACTATTAGGTGTGTATATGCACGCTTACTGCGACCGCAAATTAATATCATACCGAAGAAGAAATGTAAGTAGCCGGGTGAAACTACTGGGTTATCTTGTAGTCATTTAAATGTACTAATCTGTTTGTTAACTCAGCCAAGAATACTGTACAATACTTTCTACTGAACATCTTATGTATAGCTAATTTCGGAAAAAAATTAAATCATGCAGTTTTTTCTCGTAGTTATTACCATGGTAGTTCTTTTTATTCTATTTCTAACCCATTACAAAAATAATGAGCCTTATGTACCTATCTAATCTGGTATATTGTTATCATGGGAGGTTGATTTTATAAAAAGTCTACTGGAAGATAGACTGTTGATTCTGTTAAAATGAAATTCTCTGTTTCACCTGAAATTATCTTTTTATTAAATACACTCTACTCAATTTATATGTCGGAAAAATATAATACTCCGGACATATTTTATCATCGATTGTTACTGCTTGGCATAACACTTCAGCTTTTGAGATCTGACTGTAGTACTTCTAAGTTTCCAGATTGCAGTCGTTTAGGAGTATAAAGACTTACTTATTCTCGAAATCAAAATAAATGTCGTGCTTCACTTTATTTCTTACAAACTCACAGACTTTTTTTATAAACTGTTTTGCAGTCATTAATCATGAGTTTATTGATAGAAAAATAAAACCGGGAATTATGGTAGAGTATAATTTAATTACTGAGTAAATTTATCTAATAAATTTATTTTTTTATTTTTTATAACCACTGTGCGTCGGTAGCACAGTGGTTAGGACTCCCGCTGACCATGCACATGGTCCGGGGTTCGATGACCTGCCGACGCACACCCGATATCTATGGTCGGCCTGTAAAATTTGGGCTACCGATATCCATGCTGAAAATGCCATACTTGTACTGAAAATACGGTGTGGCATCAAGCTGTAAACAAAAATAAAATAAAAAAATAAAAAAAACTGTTTTGTTCTTCGTAATCACTATACCTTTGTCTCACACCTCTGTTTACTGTCTATATTATGCATTTCTCCTACATTCTTCTCTTGCTTTGTGTGCTGCATGGAGTATGGCGACTTGAACTGCCGCAAATATGTGCAAAGTTCTATGTCGAAAACCGACCGACTAATCTGTGGATTATGTTTGCACTTTCTGCTGTTATTATCACTCTTTATTAAACGCAGATCTAGTTTTAAACAGTAAGTAATGTACTAAAATATTATTTCGTTACTTGTGTGGAGATAGAGTAAATGGATGTCGATGAACTGATTTTTCTTAATATAAGAATAAAACTTGGGCACTGTGGTAGAGTGTAATTCCATTGTGGCTAAATTTTATTTTGATAGAGTCTCACAGTGTCATACAGTAATATTTACTGATGACCACGTTTCGAGCACAATTTATTACTGCTCATAATCATATCAAGGTAATCACACGACTTCCTAAATTCATTTATATAGTTCCATTGTTTTTCACTTGATTTGATTGGTAGTATTATTTTCCATATTTCAGGTATGAGTGATGATTCATTCCTATTGCATGTGTTGGATGTAGATTATTCGATCAACCAGGATTCAGTAATCAACCTCTCTCGCTCTCCACCTACCTAGATTACTTTTTAGAATTTTAACCCTCTCCCACCCACCCTATTGTGTGGTTGTGTGTTAATGCATGCATTGCAATTGCCGAGCTTTTTTCTAAATTACTTATCTTCTCTGGGTCAACCATTCTTACCTTAGCTAAATTCTTATGTTCTGACAATCTGACTACCCCTGACCTACTAGTTTGACCTATGTAGTTGACCTCACAGTCATTGCAGGGTATTTTGTAAATTATATTATTTTGTCTAATTGGGTCCACTGGGTCCTTTAACCTACAGAGCTTGTCCTACCTGAGTGAGTTTGTAGGTTTAAATGCCACCCTAATTCCTGCTTTATTCAGAATCCTACGTAGGGTCTCAGATGTCCCCTCCTTATATGGTATAACAGTGGATGACTTATATTCTCTCTTATTTATGTTATTATTACTAGTTTCACAATTCTTTTTATTTTTCTTTTGGCGTTTTTCAATCTTCCTAATGAATTTTAGAGGATAGTTATTTAAAACCAGAGGATGTCATTCCTAACATAGAAGTAGCACTAGGTTCAATAGATAAAACAACAGCGGAAGAGGTTCGAGCACAATGTGCATTAACTCTAAAACATCAAAAGAAGGCAAAATCAAACTTGACAAAATCGGAAAGAGAAGCTTTAATTAATCTAAAACAGGATAAAAATATTGTCATCGCAAAAGCCGACAAAGGAAACGCCACCGTAGTTTTGAATAAATCTGACTACATCAAGAAAGTCACTGAACATATTGAAATGGGTCCATATGAGGAAATTAAGAAGCCCGTAGATACAATAATGAATAAGGTTAAAAAATCCACAGCGGAATTAGTACGCAGAATGAAGCCGTCACTGGGTGAGTCAAAACGGTTTAATTTAATGCCTAAGACTAACAATGCTAGTAGGATGTATGGTACTATTAAAATACATAAGCCAGGTTATCCCATAAGACCAATAGTAGATTTTAGAAATACCCCTACATATGAATTATCAAAACATTTAGCTCTAATATTATGCCCCATTAGAAATCGTTCAAATTCTAGACTAACTGATTCATATGAGATGAAAAATAAACTAAATGACATACAACTAGATAATGATGAAACAATGGTTAGTTTTGATATAACCAGTCTTTATACTAATATACCAGTCAATATGGCCTTAGAAGCAGTTAAAAAAGAACCAACTGCGGATACTGAATTCAATCATAGGACAAAGCTGTCCATTGAAGAAATTATTTTAGGGATTCAGCTATGCCTCACATCTACTATATTTAAATTCCAAGGCAAAATATATAGACAAACTGAAGGTGTAGCAATGGGATCACCAATATCCCCTATCGTAGCAGATATATTTATGGATAGCTGGGAAAATATGGCACTTAATACGTTTAATCCTACTCCAAAAATATGGTGGAGATATGTGGATGACACTTTCACAGTGTTAAAAACAGAACATATCTCTAGCTTCTTGACACACATAAACTCACTAGTGGAGGGAATAAAATTCACATTTGAAACCGAAAATGAGCAAGGAGAATTAGCTATGTTAGATTGTAAAATAAAACGAATAGAAGAAGGTAAACTTCACACTAGTGTGTATAGAAAACCAACGCATTCTAATAGATATTTAGACTTTAATTCATCTCATCCTTTAACTGTTAAGGCAGGCTTAGTTAAGTGTTTAACAAATCGAGCAATGGCACTAAGTAGCACAAGAAAAGACCTAAATGATGAAATAAAACAGATAGAAGAAGCGTTGGTTTTAAATAACTATCCTCTAAAATTCATTAGGAAGATTGAAAAACGCCAAAAGAAAAATAAAAAGAATTGTGAAACTAGTAATAATAACATAAATAAGAGAGAATATAAGTCATCCACTGTTATACCATATAAGGAGGGGACATCTGAGACCCTACGTAGGATTCTGAATAAAGCAGGAATTAGGGTGGCATTTAAACCTACAAACTCACTCAGGTAGGACAAGCTCTGTAGGTTAAAGGACCCAGTGGACCCAATTAGACAAAATAATATAATTTACAAAATACCCTGCAATGACTGTGAGGTCAACTACATAGGTCAAACTAGTAGGTCAGGGGTAGTCAGATTGTCAGAACATAAGAATTTAGCTAAGGTAAGAATGGTTGACCCAGAGAAGATAAGTAATTTAGAAAAAAGCTCGGCAATTGCAATGCATGCATTAACACACAACCACACAATAGGGTGGGTGGGAGAGGGTTAAAATTCTAAAAAGTAATCTAGGTAGGTGGAGAGCGAGAGAGGTTGATTACTGAATCCTGGTTGATCGAATAATCTACATCCAACACATGCAATAGGAATGAATCATCACTCATACCTGAAATATGGAAAATAATACTACCAATCAAATCAAGTGAAAAACAATGGAACTATATAAATGAATTTAGGAAGTCGTGTGATTACCTTGATATGATTATGAGCAGTAATAAATTGTGCTCGAAACGTCATATCAGTAAATATTACTGTATAACACTGTGAGACTCTATCAAAATCAAAATTTACCCATAATGGGGTAACCACTTGAGATTGGTGAAAACAATTTTGATGTAAAAACAGGCTATATGTTGGTGCAGCATGATAATTACTGAGAGGATTAACGTATTGTGTTATTTAGGGTTAGAAATGTAGAAAGAACAAAAAATAGCCAGGATGGTTGGATAAAAAAATCTAGTGAGATCATAACTAATGTGACGAATAATTGTTTATGCAATCAGGGATTAGATATGTAGAAATAATAAAATAACAAAACAGACAGGAAGTTTGGATATGAAAATATGGTAGTGTAAATAGGGATTAAGAAAAATTTAAAAATAACATGAATAAACAGGAAGTTTGGTTAAGAAAGTCAATGGGATAGTCACTATTAGAAGAATTAGCTGTTTATGATGGCCATAGCAGGGACAAGGGTTGAACGTATTTTTTTTTGGATACATAGCGTGGGTTTGAGCTTTTGAATGGCTAGTGCTTCGACTATGCCCAGATGTCTTAATTTTACTCCCTTTTGATAGGTTTGATCGAATCTTGTATATATTATTTTGAAGGATTTTTCGAATGGTGCTGAATGTCCTGAATTGACCAGATGTTTCGTCACTGAACTAATATACACGTGTTTTCGTTATCCTTTCACTAGTCAGGCAGAAATAGTAAGATTAGTAGGCAATTAAAAGATTACTTAACATGGTGATAATGATTACAAGACAACATTACAAAACTTGTATTGAATTAAATAAACAAACGATAACAAGTGAGCTAGTTATATCGGAAATTGTTCAGCGTGAAATTAATAAT